CACTCTGAAACTGACTGATTTTGCTTGACTCCGGAAAGCAGGTGCCATCCTGAATGAATGATTAAAAAAAACTTCAGAGGGAAGAGAGACAGGCTTTGAGTAACAACTCATCCTTTATTTGGCATCACTTCAAATGTAACCCTTTTACCACGTCTAGACAATGAAGCTTTTAAAGCTTGGGTAGTGTATTCTTTTTCTTTTTTAACCCGGTATATAAAAGATATTTACTGGACAGAAGATGACAGACATCTCTTTTTCCTACCGCAGACGCTCTGCTTCTCTTCCTTATTGCAGATGAGTTTGTCAGATGCTATTGTCCACTTCTCTGTCTAACAATCTAGTCCTTTGCATCTCTGGTTCAGCAGTCTATTTGAAGTGGTGAAAAAAAACAATCTTAACCTGTCTGATAGATAATTTGAAAAAAAAAAACAGGACAAAATCATTGTTAGTTTTCTAGAACTGGAGTTTAAAGGAATTTAATGTGCTTTTCTCTTTGCTGCCCTTTGAATTTGACATGCACTGTGTTGAAAAGGTGTAAATAACTCAATGGACTGTGCATAAGTAATTGTCACAGTGATATATTCCTCTGTCATACACATTCATACAACGATGGATATAGGTTTTCAGTGTCTTGACCAAGGATGTTTCTTCATATGGCTGGGGGAAGTCATGAGTCAAACTGTTGACATTCTATTTGGTAAATGATCTCTCTTCTACCTGAGCAACAGGCACCACAGGGGAAGTCACAATTATGTCATATGGCTCAGAATGGTGTTTTCCTATTGACAAAACTGTTGCAATTCACAGAAAAGATATCTAAGTGTTCTTATAGAAATAAAACTTAATATAGCATTAATTTATTAATCAAAACAAGCATTTTTCCTCTTCATTTCATTCATTCCAATGTATTATATTATTTTTACCAAATCAGTTCAGTTGGTATATTCACATATTAGTACACTCGATAGATTATATTAGGATTAATTTATTACTTGAATATATACTTGATATGTAGTAATAATATAGAAGCTTGTTTTTTAAGGCAGCGCACATAGCCATAAGTTGATGTAATATTCTTTCCAAGTCTGTGCATTGGGACTATATATGGCTTTTCCTGCATATAGCATATATCTTTGGAATCTAAAATACGAAATCATATGACAAACAGTTTTTCGTGATAAAAGAGGCAGCCACAACTAAATGTAGTAATCATCAAGAAAGAAGTTGACATTCAAAGTTATCTTCAAGTTGATGTTGATGCACACCGAGACATTCTCTATAGTTCAATGTTTAAATAAAGTTAAAAAAACAAAATGTGAAATTCCTTTTTTGTCCCATTTCCAGTATTATGTTGCCATAGATGATTACTGTTATCAGATTATTACTTCCATAATTAAGTTTATTTCACCCATATTGATCCTGTGGAATTACATGAGTTTTGAAGTCATTACTATAAATACATTTTTTTCATGTGTAACACTAGTAATAGCTTGTACTAATATTCTTGTGCTACTTTACCATTGTGTGCTGGTGGTTACTGCGGTGTGGTAGCAAGGTAAAGAATGTTTAATTTTGAACAGATGTTCAATATATGTATACATTTTTACATTTGTTCTACATGAGTTTACTTCTGAAGAAATGTTTTTCTCAAAACACAAAGGATTCACAATCATTTCTTGGCACAGAACAGAAATGTATTTTACCATTATTGAATGACTTTGTTTTTAATTGACTTTTCAACTTAATCTCAGCTACAAATTTGCCGTAATGCAATACTGTTTGACCAGTGTACAGATTTTGCTTACGAGCTCATGCAATGCTCAATGCTGAGTGCTTGCTATGACATTTTACTTGTATTTTAATACCCTCACATTAACTCCTTGTGAATTTCCTAATCAGCTCAAGCTGATGGACCTTCAAAACATCGATACTAATGAGCAAAAGTGTTATTACAAGTTTCTAAATGTATATATTCAAATCTTATGCATGTTGGACAGATATGTGAAAAGCTTCTGATCCAATTCAAAAGTAATTGAAATTTAATGTCTTAATCTAGACCTGGCAACCCCCCCAAAATATGCCAGTTTGCTGGATCACACACTTAATTTTACCGATGACAACCCAATGGCTGTATGGGAGCAGGATGCTATTATTATAACTTCTTTAAAATGCTAAACTGTAAACACTAAATTGTTATACTAAGGGCTGGAGTGGAACTATGTTGCCTAACCACAGGGTGTCCTTCTACGCCTCTTCTGAGGGATTCTGGGCTTGTCTGATGACAGGGTGTGAGTGCGGTTACTGGGGAGTGTCTGGAATGGGTGCCATCTCTCTGTGGTGATCCACAGAGGCCTGATGATGGGAAGAGAGGGACATCTCACCATTTGGTACCGGCCATTGGCTGACGCAGAAGGATAGGAAAGAGAGGGAGGAGAATAAGAGGTGTGTGAGGACAGAGCGTGCATAGGTATGGCTCATTCCCTCATTTCCTAGCAGCGCTGGCATATCACCAACGTTATGGCAGTAATTGATTTTCTCTGTGCCATTAGTCTCTGAGACAAAGATGCGCCACTGAGGGGGTTGCTGTCGTTTCAAGGCTGGCATAGAGCCCAGCCTCATAGTATCATATAAATAGATACATGCAAAGTATTATTCTTCTTTTACAGGTTCGAACACACAACGTTTTTCACCCCTAAACAGGAATTTATACCATGACAGTTGCCATGTTGTTTTGAAAAATAATATTGTTTAAAATCAACGCGCTGTAGCACAAATATGGTTATTGTACAGGTCAACACAGTTATTGTCATAAAGCAAGAAGAAAATGTTAATGTCAGATGATAGAGATTTATATTCTTGTAATGCACATGACACTATTCTGTTTGTACAATGTTTGTAGGTTATTGTGTTAGCAGCAGAGCAGCATTCCACCAAGAGGCGTGTTCTCACACTTGAATATAAAAAGAGAACTCCCCAGACAAAGAGCAGGGCATGTCTTTATCTCATTAAAGTTAACAAGAGGCTGCTGTCGTCTGCCTGCAGACCAGCAGTAATCTGATACTGAGGCCTGTGTTGTGAGCATCAAGCCTTACAGCCATCGCTACCAGCACTATGGCACTCATCAGCGTCATAACACTCATCACCAAACCAGCAGCTGCTAACACTGCTGGCACCGTGATGCTCACTGGAGTCAAGATGCTAATTGAATGGTCATTACTGATATCTTCTCTTTTGTCGTGTCCCCATGTCATCTTTACTGTCGACACATGAATGCCAAACATTACATGCTGTCGCCATAGCAATTGTTTTTTTGTCATCCTTCATGATGCTGTTTCTCATTACCATGGTTACAGCAGCAGTACCTTCTTCGCTCTGAGAAAATGAAGCAGAACAATAGCAGGTACAAAAAATACACACACAGAGAGAGCATGCACCAAATGCCAATTAACCAAATAAAGGATAAGATGGTGCTTACAATAGCTTCTTAAGTCAGTTATGAGCTCATTAAAGAACATATACCACACAATCTTTGATCAGTTAGACCAAATTGCTCGGAGGTCCTGAGCTGCTTGTTTAGAGTTCTTCCACATCAATAAAAAAGAGGTAGGAATATATCAGAGAGGGTCTGATGAGTCATGGCACTCTTCCACCATTCCAACAGGGTTAAACCAGCCCTGGCAGACTTCATTCCTGATGCTTTTCATGGCTTGCTTCTACATGGATGCTCATTTGGAGTCTCTAATTAATTGGAGACGTTATTTATTTTTTAAATCTATTTTTGTTTGGCTGTTGACCGACGTGTGGTCCTCTTATATGCTCATCTTCAGGTCGACGTGGCTCCCTAATTAAGACTCCAGAGGACGACTAATTGCCGTTGCGTGCCTCTCGGCAGAGCAAGGGAGCACTCTCCATGTGCTGCCCGGAAAGAGAACCCGCCACCAAATTAAAAGGGCTTATGTAAGTTTGCGGTAAAACTATTAAACACCAACCAACTTTTCCTTGTGAGGAGCTGCCACTTGATTTAATGGGCCTAATTAAATGTGCATATCACAGAAATCCAAACCGCTCGCTCTAACTTCACACGGCAATAGGATAATGGTTATTCCTCCATGCTGTCAAAGACTAATCCTAAATACTGAGCAGTTTTATTGCTCCTGCACAGTGACAGAATGAGCTTCAGAATTCTTAAAAGCAAAATTCATATAATTTGTCTTTCAGAAAAAAGACATAGATCAAGAACAGGTGAGACGAACCAGATTTATACAATCTATTAGAAGTAGCATCAGTAGAATAAAAAAAAACTGTATAATGAATAATCCAGACATCCAGTATATGGAGTAATATTGAAATAGCAAACTTGTTACAGTCTTTACAATTTTTCTCTCTAAATTCACACTGGTGTTGCTCATTTAGTGAATTCTGCTTAAATATCAGCCAGTAAACATTATACTTTTAAGAACTTTTGGAATGTACAGGTTGTCGGAATGTGATTTTTTTAAAGGAAAAGCTGATCATTTGTTTATCTTTGTAATAAATTTGGCGGCATGGTGGTGTGGTGGTTAGCACCACTGCCATACAGCAAGAGGGCTTCCGATTTCTGTCTGGAGTTTGCATGTTCCTAGGGGTTCCTTTCGGGTACTCCGGCTTCTTTCTACTATCCAAAAACGTGCATGTTGGGTCAATTGGACCCTCTAAATTGCTCCTAGGAGTGAAAATGATTGTGTGTTTGTTTATGTGTCTCTGTGTGAACATTGGATGGACTGGCGACCTCTACAGGGTGCACACTGCCTCGTGCCAGTTGTCATCTGGGATTGGCTCAAGCCCCTTCCCCTGACCCCGGGGGGAATAAGCGGGATTGATACAGGATGAAATACTCGTTTAGGTTTTAAGATTTATTTTTAGAAATATGAATGTGTATGTGTATGTGTATGGATGAATGCATGATAGTGAACAAGCCCACAAATATGAGCTGGAATGGTTTCAGAGCCACGCCAAGTCACATACTACTGACAAAAAGGAAAACATTTTAACATGTTAAAATCTAACAGAAATTGAAAAAAAAAAGAAACAACAAAACCCAGAAAAGCTATGACAAAACAAAACAAAATCCAGTTAATTATGTATGACAAAATATAATAACTGCATATAAAATGGGTACAAAAGTACAAACTGACATACTAAAAAATAGGGGCCATTTGTTGACACTGTATAAGGCGATTCTCTACAAATCTGCGGACTTACCTTGTAGCATAGAGGTAAGTTAATGTCGGGCACAGTCAGTCACAACAGGTCTTTTGTCAGACTTGTAAAAATGCCACCACCAATAAGATTGAAAATGTTTGATGATTTGTTGTTGGACCTTGAGTGCTCTTGATGTTTAAAATTACATTTTAAATTTAGGAGCAGCAGGGTGTTGTAGTGGTTAGCATTGTTGCCTTACAGCAAAACGGATCCGGGTTTGAGTCCCCGGGGGAACCGGGACCTTTCTTTGTTGGGTTTGCATGTTGTCCCTTTGTCTGTGTTGGTTCTTGCCGGGTACTCTGACTTCCTCCCACGATCCAAAAACATACATTTTATTTTAAAAGGACACACCAAATTGCCCTCAGGAGTTTATGTGGTTGTTTGTCTCTGTGTTGCCCTGTGATGGACTGTCGACCTGTCCAGGGTTTACCCCATCTCTCGGGCATTGTCAAGTGGGATGGGCTCCAGCCCCCCGGTGGATGGATATTCCTTTTAATCTGGCCAAACCAGATAAAATATTTAAACCCCACTGTTTTATTACTACTCTGGCTTCTACTTCGAGCAACTGCACTTCTTGGACACATTATAACTAACATTCCAATAAAGGTTCAAAGAAAAGTGTGCATGTTGGTAACACTTTGGAATTCAGAGTTAACTAAATTAAAATTACTTTGATAACATATTTCTTTATGAAATATTATGTGGATGTGTTCTCAAATACACAATGAGTTAGAGGTCTCAATATTGGACTATGTTGAGTCACAGCAGCAAAGTTCATTTGGATTTAGTTTGTATAGAAACTACATGTATCTAATTGGAAAAAGAAAAACAGAAATACTTAGTTATAAGATACACAATAAATAAGTTATAAGAAATGGAAAAACTAACACCACAATAGTTATTAGATATTCTTGAAACATTCCTTCACTTCAAAAACATAACTTTCTTTTCATTTTTTTTTTAAAGCTTGAAAACAAGAAAGATGGTGGGAAAAAACAAATCAGGGAGAATCTCTAAATGAGTGAATTTCATGCAAAACTTCAAACACACATCTTCAAAGTTGCACAACATTAAAAACCAAGCCGACATAGTTCCTGACATCAAAAACCAGCCAGCATCAAGGGGACACAACTGAGTATGCTGAGCCATGCCCTCACTCTGAGGCACTCACCCTCCTCTTTATCTTTATCCTTTGTCACCTCTTGCTGTCATCCTTAGGGTATTTGTTACAGCAGAGCAATATGGGTAACAGGAGGACCAG